TTTAAAAAAATAAGACAATAAAGATTTATCCAAACAGAATATATAATCAATAACACTAATAATTCCATAAATATTCATAAATTCAAGGTATATCCAAACAGCATAATATAGAACAAAATCATTCAAAAACTCTGTTTAACCAATAAAATGGGATGGAATAGATTGAGAAGAAAGAGAGGCCTATTACAAGTAGTATAAAAAATATAAAAATAAAATAAAATAATATACTAGGTCGGCCTGAGAGGCTCTAAGGCCGAGCTTTTCAATTGGAACCTGAGGCCTTTTTATTAAACGAGCTTTTATACAAATTCAAGCCTTGCCAACAATCAATTTTACACATGTAAGCTCAAGCCTTTCACGAGCCGAGCCAAAGGCCACTCAAAAAGCCCATGACTCGTTTAGCACCTCTAAATGCTAGTACGAGCGTTTCAAAAATTCTGATGATCTAAATTAGAAAGCCATACTCAGTTACAGTATGCATGCAGCAATTCAAGTGGCTCAAGAATATTTGATATAATTGCATGATCAATTAATGCAATACAAATGCCTCAACCATCAATCACAACTCACAAGAATCAACTAGTTTGGGTTTTTATAGCTTAATTAGTAACCTCGAGTTCAATTTTGGATATACAGCTAAGTTAAAAAAAAATTGGGAGAGCTTTGCCACTCTTATAGTCCTTCCTGTCTCAACTGGCTAGCTTGACTTTTTCTTCCACCACCTTCTTTTTGGAGCATCGTCTCGATGAACGCAGATGATTCTTGACAGTTTTTCTTCATAGCCGTTTTGGCATTCAGAATTTTATTTTTACTTAAAAAAAAAAAAACCATTTGGTATCTAAAATTGATATGTAATTTTGTTTCCTTTTGGAATTGAGATTTCTTCTCGACAATCTGGTTTGCCTGTGAAGGATATGCATAAAATTTGGATAGACTAATGAAATTAGTGCTCAACTTCAAAAAAGTTAACCCAAGAATAAGAAATAAGTTTCTCTAGCTCTTGAATTTGGTTACATGTTGAGGGATATATGCACAACCAGAACTTTGCAAGATATGGAAAGGCTAGGTTGATGAATGGTTTTGCAACCCATGTGCATGTTGGGTGTGCAAGGTGGTTGTATCTGCATTATGGTTCATTTTTGCACTAGTTATCTAGACCTAAACTTGAAGAGCAAATAGTATTGTAGGACACTGAAGATGTATGTTAAAATTTGGAAAGAGAATAACAAAAATAGTTCCAACATTAAAGGTGGTTTTTGGATAGTAGGTAGGCATGGATTTGAATGTTTGACAATCTGGTATCAAGAAAAACAATCCTAATGAAACATGGGTAAGTCCCTGCTTTTTCCATTAATCTATGAATTCAATTTGGAAATCAATAAAGAACATCTCTTTACCATTACCATGAAACATCTTTGAATTTGCCTTGGAAAGATGGAACATATTCTAAGTGTCTAGGAATCTTTGGCTTGACTAAAGCGTATAAAGTTCGATAAAAGCACAAAAAAGGATTCAGAAGTGGGACTTCTGTTACACGAACTTTATAATCTTCAGAAACGTAAGATGCTTCATAAAGAATCTAATTTTAAGGACACAAATCTAATAATACAAGAAGGTGAAGGGTCAAAAGAGAATAAGATATACATACACAAAATGTATTTTTTTTCCTAGTATATATGACATATATAGATAAGTCCTTAAAATATTAATGCCTTTCAACAACCATGCGTTTAGCTTACTATGTCAAACAAGGTGCCAATGATAAATGCTTGATGCACAAGGTTTTTGAGAGTCGATTGTGTGCAATTTTATTACAGAAAAATATTTCTACAGCTATTGTTACCAGACTCAACTGACTTGGGCCTAACAAATAAAAAGGGCCAAGCCCAATGTAATTTAATTAGTTAGTTTTCTTTTGCTGATTCAGTTAGAAGTTAGTTAGACACTTAGTTTTCATTCTTTAATTCCTTAATTCTTTCTGATAACGAGTTGTATAAATAAACCTCTTCTTCTTGAGTTTGCATTAGTTGGTTAATCAGATCAAAGGGTTTACATCTATCATTTAACATGACCACAACAATTTTTCTACACACACAATATTTTGTGGGACCCACAATTATTTAAGCAAAAAAAATAAAAATAAATTTCGGCACGCAAAACGAATCTCTATAACATAACACAATCACTTTTCCTACAACATAACTCGTATAAAACCCTCAGATCAATATACAAAACACGTTTAATTTCGAGTTGGCTTCCTTTTCTCTCTGTGATTGCATGTTGAGATCTCATCACTTGATCTTGTATGTTGAAAATAAGTTATCTGCATTTATTCCCAAAACGAAATCGTTTTGAGATTGAAATATTAAAAAATTATAATTATAAAGACTATAATAACCCTGAAATAAATTAAAATTATAAAAATACCATGATTTCGGTCCCAAAATGACGTCGTATTGGGCTTACTGCAGATAACTTATCTGCAGTGACCGCAGAAAAAGTGAACCCATTTTATTATTGTATTTTTATAAGGGAAAAAAGTTTCTGCAGTTAATGCAGATAAGTTATCTGCATTTATTCCAAAAACGACGTTGTTTTGGTATTGAAATCTGAAAAAATTATAAATATAAAGACTATTATAACCCTGAAATAAATTAAAATTACAAAATACCATGATTTCCGTCTCAAAACGACGTCGTATTGGACTTACTGCAGATAACTTATCTGCAGTAACTGCAGAAAAAGCGAACCCTTTTTATAAAGGAATTATTTTTTATATTCAAACTCCGTCATCTTTCAATTATAAAGGAAAAACTTTATTGTTGCTTGTGGGTAGGCTTGGCAAAAATGAGCCAACCCATCGGGTTAGCTCATAACCCGACTAAAATGAGTCGGGTTGGGTTAAGAAAAATGAGTCAGTAACTAGAGTCAGCCCGACTCGTTTCAGCTCGAAAAAAACCGAGCCAACCCATAGGTCAACCGGATTCGCTCGCGGGTTATGATTTTTCTTTAATATAAAAGTATAAAAATTAATGAAGGTAAAGTGAAAAACTAAAATCTAAAATTCCAATTCCAAAGACCTAAACGAAAATACCCTGCAGCTGCCAATAAGTCCAAAATCGTGCATTAAGGACCTTTTTTATAGTATATGTGACAATGTGAATGTGGTGCCAACTGCCAATAAGTCCAAGTCCAAATGTAAAAGAAATTTTCTATGGTTTATCTGTATAATGTCTTTGTATTGAATGAATTAATAATTTAGGAAAAAAGTTTAGATGTTATAACATCAATGGAATTTTATTTTATTTTTTATTCTTTCGAGCCAACCCGCGAGCCAACCCTAACCCGACTCGAGTCGGGTTGGGTTGAGTTTTCTGGCTCGTTTATTTTTCGAGCCAACCCTAACCCGACTCATTTTTTCGGGTTGAACGCGGGTTGGGTCGGGTTGAGCCGGGTTGACCCGTTTTGCCAACCCTACTTGTGGGTTCGTCCTTGTACCATTTAGGAAAAGATTACAAAAATAGGGATGTGCAAAATAATAAAAAAAATTAAACTGAACCGTTAATCGAACTATACTGCACTTAAAATAATCGATTTTTAAAAATCAATTTATGAATCGAACTAGTTTTTAAAGAACCAGTTCATGAACCGAATTGGTTTTTAAAACCATTTCATGAACCGAACTGGTTTTTAAAACCAGTTCAAGAACCGAACTGATTTTTATTACTTTATTTTTTTAATTTTTAATTTTCTTTTCTTTTCAAAATAAGGTTGAGCCGAACCAGTTTCGAACCGAACTATTTTTTTACCGAACCGAACTAGTTTTGAATTGAACTAAATCATTTTCGAACCGAACCGTTTAAACTAATTCGGTTCGATTTTTTAAAAAATTCAATTCAATTCAACCCATTAACACCCCTTCTCGAAAATAAATTAAATATACCAGTGTTTTGAACTTTTGATTGAGGGGAAATTTTTCTGACAATATATGCGAAAGAAGTATTTCTCCAGTATAGTATCACAAGATAAATATATCCTTAACAAGTCCAAAATGATATTGTTTTGTGATTTTTTTTTAAAAAATAATTTTTATTTTTCTTTTGTATTATACATTTTGTTAAAATATCTTTTTTTTAGACCCCAAAAGATTTAATGCCAATATATATATATATATATATATATATATATATATATATATGGAAAAATATTTCTCAAGCAGCTTGAGATAAATTTATCTCCGGCCACCCAAAATTACATCGTTTTATTTATTTATTTTCTTATTTTAATTGATTCACCTTTGAATGGTTATGATTTCCTTTTTCTCTCTCTTCCTTTATCATCATTGATTCATCTTTGTGCGGTTATGATTTAGTGGCTGGAGATAACGTTATCTCAAGCAGCTTGAGAAACGATAAACCCATATATATATATATGACAATAATTCTTGTATACTCATATCTCATATTTATGAACATTGAATTTTATCAATCCAACTATTGGATTTAAAGTTATTGTTAAATAAATTAAAGTCTACAAAATTTTATACAATTTAAAAAGGGTTCGGTTTTTCTGCAGTTACTGCAAATAAGTCAATACGACGTCGTTTTGAGACGGAAATCATAGTGTTTTTGTAATTTTAATTTATTTCAGGGTTATAATAGTCTTTATATTTATAATTTTTTAAGATTTCAATACCAAAACGACGACGTTTTGGAAATAAATGCAGATAACTTATCTGCATTAACTGCAGAAATATTTTTCCCATTTAAAAATGAATTTTATTTTTCTTATGTTGCAGGAGACAAGTTGTCTCATGCAACACACAAAAAGTGGGTGGGACCCACTAAAAAGGAAGAGAGAGAAAATAAAAAACGGGCCCCACCCACTTTTTGTGTGTTGCACCATAAGAAAAATAAAACCCTTTAAAAATTAGCTCATACTTTATTGTCCACTTCATTTTAACGTGTTTTATATTTTTTAAATATAAGTAGATGTCGATGGCAAAATTACATACATAAAATTGTCTAATTTATCCAAAAAAAAAATATGAGCAAAAACATCAAGAAACTAATATTACATGATTCAAAGGTTAAATTTTTTTAAATTCATATTTTACATAAAAAAAAAAACAATATATTACCCTGCTAGCTGTTTACTTAGCTGAATCTTGCCTATGGTTCAATGCTCTCATCAACTTTGGCCCTTGTGCTCATAAGAACCTGCCAATAAATAACAGTACTCAATATACATTAATTTGACACCCGAAGCTGATTCTATTATAAGTGATAAAATAGTACTCCTCGCAGATTAAAATGAATTTGTTTCAGGTCATGTGTTATGTTACCTTACGGAGCATGGTGTTCTCATTGATCAAAGTCGAGATACGCTCTTCCAACTTGGAATTCTTGTCTTCCATCTCTTTAGCTCTTGATTCCAAGTCATTCATATACACTTTTTTTCTTTCACGGGCCTGTTGCGCAGAAACCCTATTTCTCAACAACCTGTTTGCAATATCAAAAGCCATTAACTGGTTTGTAACGGTTTCATATATGAGGAATGTGCTTCTGCTGTGACCGCTAAAGAAAATTTTTACAATAACACATAAAAAGATAAGATACAACCGTGGATTTTATTTTTTTTCTTTTTATTTTAAAAAATAAAATAGATTAGTTTCATTTTCTATGTCTACTGCACTTGGAGTCGGCAAAACGGGCTCGGCTCCGCGGGCCAACCCGCCAAACGACGCGGCAGACTGGGTTTTTCAACCCATCTCAAAAACGGGGTGGGCGGACTCATTTTTTGACGGGTAGATGGCGGGCATAGGCGTTTCAGTGTAAAATAGGCTCGGGCTGGCGGGCCAACCCGCCAAACGGGGCTGGACGGGCTGAGTTTTTCAGTCCACTTTCAAAAGCAGGGCAAGACGAGCTGGCCCATTTTTTAACGGGGTGAGAAGGGGCGGAGCAGGCCGTCCACTTTGCCACCTCTAACTGCACTAGAAAAAATGATGGAGCGACAGTAGAGTTTGGAACCCTTCATATATACATATAAAGAGATAGAGTTACAGATTAACCAGCGTTAGTAAATTGAGAATAATTCTTACCTTGGTAAATAACTTAACATTAATTTAAAGTTATTTAAACATTTTATTTATTTATATAAAAAATTAAAAATATACTTTTGAAATATATTAAAATAAGAATTATATGATCACATTCTTAACGATATTTAATATTTTTTGAAAACTGACACAATTGATTAAGATGATGGAAACTGAAAAGACATCAGTTGAATAAAAATCATATTTATACAAAAACTATTAAATAATGCAATATTTGCGATATTAATTACTTCAAGAATAAATCTTGTTATGTGTGTTAAAAAAAAGAAGAATAAATCTTGTTATACTTATCGTAGTTTATGTAGATGTTAAGTATCATTAATCTAACCATTAGACTAAAAATTCTGATTAAGTAAATCAAGTTTATCAAATTGCAGGTGAATATCCAATTTATCTAAAATGTGGTGTGTATGATCATCAAAATAAGTGATATTTAATCTTTAATTTTAGTTTCATCTAATAGTTGAAATTAACTAAAATAATGAGAAAGAAAATGATATAATCTGATTTTAATAAATAAAGAGAATGCTATATTTATCTTTTAATAAAGAGAGATAATTTAAATTTATTACCTTTTATTTTTTAAAAATTGTTAAAAAGGAAAATACATTCTTTTTTAAAATGACAAATAATACAAGCAATGGCAGACCTGCTTGGGCGCCTCTGTCTGCAAGTGTGGACATAAACCCCTTGAATTATTTTTTTTTAATCATAATAGTGAAACATGATGTTGGTTAGATTAGGCTTTGCTTGGATATGTAATGAGAGGTAGAATGAAAATGAATGGAATACGGTGTTAGAATATTTTATTGGATATTTTATGATGCATACAACAATTCTTGATTAGAAAAAAAATGTTGGGAATAATTTTTTACATTAAGTTGAAGTTTTTTTTCTTATTTATATATATTTTTTAATGAATTTAAAATTTTCTTTAAAAAAATTCACCACTAAATGTGCGAACATAAATAATATTTTTTGGGTCCGCCAGTAAATACAAGTTTTAAACTACATATACAAAAAGAAAAGAAAAAGATTATTTTTAATTAAGTTCAATTTCTTAAATGAAGGAAAACTTCACAGCTCAGGATTTGTTATAATTATTTTTAAATTAAGTTCAATTATTTTTTTAAAAAAATACGGATATAAATTAAAGTTAATTTAAATTATTTTTTTAAAAAATACGCATATAAATTAAAAAGTTATTATGTACTATATTAAATGTTTTAGTAAATAAAATAAACGAAAAACAAGAAGATAAACACACGCTCAACTGAGCAGTGTTAAGTGTTAACATTATTTCAGTTTTCATAAAAAATTTGATTCAGTTTCTAACAAAAGGTTCATGATATATATGAGCGTTAACTGTAAAGGTTCATAAATACACCACTCCAAAAGTTAGCTCGAAGGGTGAGAGTGCCCAAGGCCTTATAAACTATATATCTCAACACGCTCCCTCACACAAGAGCTTATTGGGCTTGAAGAGTGAACAATGCAACAGGCCTAACCTACTTGTGCTAAGAAACGCCACAAGAGAAAATGGAGGGCGGCGAGGCTTTGATACCATATAAAGAACCTTGGGATACACCACTCCAAAAGCTAGCGGATGGGAGTGCCCAAGGCCTTATAAACTATATATCTCAACATTACGTAGAAAATAATACGAAATGATAATTAGAAACTAAAAACAATATGTAGGATTAATTTGATTGAATTTTTTTTGGAAATGAATAAAATGGGCGTGGAATAATTTTTCTAAACAATATTTTTATTTAAAGGTTTTTTTGTTTTGTTTTATGTTTTTACGTTTTGTGGTATTTATGTGTTTTTGCATTTCTTATGTTTGGATTTAATGTATAGAATTGCATATATTATTATTATTAATTTATTTTCAATATAAAATTATAAATAATAATAAGGAGAGTTAATAATAATGTCAAATTCTCTTTTTCATTAAATTTTAAGTACAGTTTTATTTTTCTTCGCTAATACCAGAGTCTACTATTTTCCTTTTTTATTAATTGAATTAATTTAAACGATTAAAAATAAAATAAAATAAAATATTTTTGCACATCATAAGATTAGAGAACATATTTGGTAGTGTTGTCCTACCGAGTAATGAGTACAAGTACAACTCCCATTCAAAATAAAATTACAGATTATGTATTTCTGAAAATATATAAATATAATTTTTTTCCCTCTCTCCTTAAAAAACATGTCACTGTGTTATATTTTTATTAGGTGGACGTAGGTACTATATTAAAAATTTCCATAAGATTAAACTCTCTCACATACACATTATAATCATTATATTTCTTATGTTTAAGAATTTTATATTAATATATAGGTCTTGCATTAAGTGCCTTGGCTTTTGAAAGTGTAATTAAATCATAACATATTATCAAAGTATCTATAATTAAATAATGTATTAAGTTCAATCGAAAGCATTTATCATTCTTCATCTACCGATCAAATACACATACCAGTTAAAGGAGCACGTTATAAATGGCTTTCTTTTTATCATATTTAATGAAGGTTGTATTGGGTACTCTTATTCCCCGAAAATATTTTCAATGAAGAAAGCATTAATGTAAAACTAAAACCACTAAACCAAATCATAAATATGCAAAAGCAGAGGTTTATGTACGTATTTATTTACGTACCTCTTGAGGCGTCTATACTCTTTGTCTACAGGGTTTCTTCCGCGGCGGCGCTTACCGCCGGGGAAGCCAGTTTGAAGCGAAGGATCCGTCACATTGCTTTGGTTAAGGTTACTATTTTGATTTGTTGCTGCAGAATGGACACTTTGTGTAGCTTCCACATCTGGCACCGTGAACAGATCTTCATCGCTATCTTCTGTACGTATTAATTGTATTCAAATGACTAATTAACATCACATTATTTATTAATAATGAATTCCCAAGAAAATATTGCACTTCCATAATAAGTATGTTATTAACTCAATGACCCATTAAAATTAAACAAAAATAAATAAAGCAGTACATATAATGCATTTGATATCCGAGTTTTGATTAGTTTGTTTTTATATTAAAAAAAAGTTTTACAAACAAAATGTTTAATTAAAAAAAATTGAGTGAAAATTTTATTTTATTTAATATGAAAATATTGAGGACGAATTTTTGAGCCACGATAACGTTATTTCTTACGACGGAAAGAGACACAATTATTCCTTGTGACCGGAAATGATGATAATGTTATTTGTTGTTAGCGGAAGATTACGATAAGGTTATTTTTTGTGACAAGAAGATAATGAGATCGAATATGAAAAACAATTTCATAGTAAGAATAAAATCAACTCTTATAAGTTGAAGAGTCTTATGTATGTTAAAATTGCGTACAATACACTTTCATCTCTATTCCCGCATGTTGAGAAGAAGTGTGCATGATAAAATTGCATACAATACACTCTCACCCCTGTCATTATAAGTGGGAGAGCCTTATGCACATTGCCATTTATATTTTAGTATATATGAAAATATAAAATGTAAATAATTATCATTTATTCAAGTGATAAACAATTTGTTTTCAGTAAAAAAATATCTTGAATTCGAATCCCGGTGAGACAAGCTCAAATCAAATTAGTCAAGAATTCCAATTAAGTGATGAGAAAATATGTAATAAAAAATAAAAATAAAAACCAAACATATATATATTAATATATTATCACATACCCACTTTGCTTCTCTTGTGTGGAGGTATAGGAGGGAAAGAGTTTCTGTTGTTGGTGAGCCTATTCCATGAAGAAGAAGAGGAAGAGGGTGCTTCCTTCATCAGCTGCTGAAGAGTGGTGTTGTTTGGTTTACCCTCTGTGGATCTTGGAAGAGACATCTCTCTCTCTGTGACTCTCTCTCTAGCTTGTTGATGCTCTTTCACTATGTATCTGCTCTTTCTGAAAGTAACTCCAATACGGCAAAAAGAAAGTAAATGCGTGTATTTGCTATTTTGGGGTCTCTCTTTCTTTGAGTAGTCTCATTCTAAACCATTGCCTGCTAAACAATGATGGGGCCAAAGAGTTTGGTTCACAAACGAACACGTTGATGTGCACATAACCAACACTTTTAATTCCTCACTGTTTTCGTACGTTAAGCTCTTTATACAGAATCAATTTTATTATTTATATTTTCGGTTTAAAACTTCTCATAAATAAAATTATATAAAAACATGTGAAATTTATATTAACTCATATAAAAAGAAAAGAGAAAAAAAAAATATTAAGCTTCGTACATTTTTACGTGTATGGTTATAATATAATAACTTTTTAAAATATATATATATATATATATATATATATATAAATAACTTTAAACCTTTATATTTTTTGAATCCAAGATAATACCAGAAACTTTGTGCTTTTTAATGTTAACAAGTTATTGTCCGATATAGACAACGTGACGGACTGACGGGGTCTGAACTCTCAATATATATTGTATCCTCTTTTCTTTTTTTTCTTTTTTAACTCCAAAAATAAATAAACAAGAGGATATATGCATTAAACATATATTATTATTCAAGTTGCAACAGTGGATCTATAAATACCAGTTCTCTCTCTCTGTGTCTCTGTGTCTCTGTGGGTAGGTTGGGGGCTTTGGGTGCATGATTTTTAAAGTGAATAAATTTATATTTATTCAAATAAAAGATTATATGTATTTTGTGTCGTTTGAATTTGGTTGAATTACAATTACAAAGCTTCAACCAAACTTAAAATGATAACCTCGTCTACCAAAAAAAAAAAAATTGATAACCTCTAGTCTACATATAGTTTACCTGGATTTGTTGTCCTAGGTAGGACGACAAGGATTTACATATATCACAAGTGCAAGTCATTCTCATTAACGGTTACTTTTAATATACCCAAAATAAAATAAAAAATTAGACAAATATAAAATTATTAATGTAGTCTCACCAAAATATTAAGATTTTTGGTTGAATTAATTTTTTATATGATATCAAACTTGGAGTGGCCAAGTGATTACAAGTTCGATCCTCACTTTCCACCACTTTGTGATGGAATTAAGTAAGTCCAAGGTAAACTAAAAATGAGCATGTGCAGCACAAGATAGACCAAAAGATGAACCTGTACAATATCGACATTTTAAGCTTAAATAACTCTTGTTTGATGGGGTGTATTAGAGAGATATAAAATCACTAATGTAATTTCACCTAAGCCTTAACATTTTGGGTTGAATTTAGTTCTTTACTTTTTTTATATAAAAAATAAAAAAATAAACTTAGTATTGCTTCTATATCATATCATTTCTTTTGCGTTTAAAAGTTTAAGAAGAAAACCTGTCAATCGTAACATTTATCGTAAGCTTTAACAAAAAAAAAAAAAAAAAACAGAAAAAATATTTGTCACTTATTATAAATAATATTATTGTATGGATTTCCATAACCCCCAAAGATATGAATGTAACATCCTGTTTTAGAACCGATTTGTTATCATTACGTATGATATTAAGCGCAGTTATTACAATCACAGCATTTGATTAAAACACGGATAAATTTTTTTCATTTGAAAACATATTATTTTATGATTAAAACACTTTTTGTATTTATAAACAAATCAAACTGTAATTATAATTCATACAAATTGCGATAACATCTAATCTCGCTTAAATATATCATACCACCACGAAGTTCTCATAAACAACATGGCTTTAGATGACAATGATGATAGTTAATCACACAAGTTGATAATCTTCTACCAACATCGCCCAAACAAAACGGACAGAGCTCTATTTGCTTTTCGGACATCTAGGGATAATTCTCACATGATATCTCAACCTAATAAGCAGTTCAATAAATATTGACATCATCTCAATCTATCCAATAGGCGTACAAGCCCTTCCATCATAATTGTATCAAAATAAATAAATGCTCACAGACTACATAAATGAAAACTTAACTAATACAAAACATATGATCAAAGTCCCCACAACACGGGGTGAGATAAACATCTCAGTAAACCATGGGTCCTTGGAGGATTCCTCCACCCCATAGTTCACTTCAGGTATAAAAGAAATAACAACAAATAATACAATTATATACATATCCATACAGTGTGTAAAATATCTCCATGAGACACCCCTCCGACACTCTCGTCATCCACAAGATACTCACTTAAATATAAAATAGATCTATTGGCCAGGGAATCTACCAAGTATGAATTATGCATCGACATGCAACATACAAACATAGGGAATCACCATCCTATGCCACACCCAGTGCATACACATACATGTATCAATGCATTAAACTACTCTATTACAATTATATATACCAATAATAACCACTACCCCATCAGGGTTTAGTGAAACAATAAAGAGATAAATCACAGGGTTTGAAGGCTTACCTCTCGAAGCTAGGTGTTATAGCACTTTCCTTGCCTATGCAATCAATCAACGACCCCTCAACCAATATCACCTATTTAAAGGATATAGAATCAATATATGCACAATCATACAAGCATATCAATATGCAAACACTTCCAATTCTAGCAAGGTACGTTAAAAACTTACCAATTTCTTGAAAATTCAAGAACCTAATCTTGTTCACTTGGTGGCACTAATGGAAGTTCCTCCATCATCACTTCACTTGGCTCACCACTACCAATTCAAACAAGCATAAACATCACCAGAAACATTCATTTCTAACACTACACATACAAGACACCTACACTTGATTTTTAGTCAAATTTTCAAAAATGGGACATGTTATGGTTTCAATATTTTTAATGGCTAAGACAACATTCCTATCACATTTTGTGAAGACACAAAGGTTCATTCACCTCCCAACATAATTAACCTTGTTAACCCTCTTTGAACCAACATCAATTCAAGGTCAACATTTCGAAATTCTAAGGTAACTACCTCATGGTTTTTCCTACGACAATCCACATCATGTTAGGACTATATCATCCATTATCCATTAGGGTCTCATCTACATTCGTGCCATTACTTAAATTACAAGAAATCCACACTTGTTCATAGTCTAATTTTCCAAAGTAATTAAAGTGGTGATTTCTCTTGTTGTCCCCTCACAAGAAATATTTCTAAGCATGTTTAACAAAGGATATCATATACAAAACAACTCTATCACCTCCAATCATCACAATTTTGTGGTACTATTCACAAACAACCTAACTTTCTTGAAAATTCATGAAAATGAGATTTGAGTGGGGTAAACTTACCATAATCCGACCTAGAATGAAGGGGGAGGAGTTCCCAAGCTTTCTTGCACTTAAAACACCTTCAAAATCATCAAAATCCTCACAAACTCATTGCTTTGAGGAAGAAATATCTCACTCTACAATGAACCCCAACCGAAAATGAGCTATGGGTTAGAAAGAGGAGAAGATTTGAAGTGATTTTGGCTTTGAAATCATTGAATTTCGTTGTTTCTAGCTCAATCTACCAACTTTTGAAGTTTTGCTCTCTTTTCCCCCTTCCAATGGCTGCTGACCACGGATGAGAAGAAAGAAAAAAAGTGAAGTGTGTTGTCTTGTCTCTTTCTTTAGTCACTTAAGTGAGTTGTACTATCCAAGTGGGTATAAACTTATATATCCCGTTCACTTAACTTTCTTTCAAATATGACACTGACTTATAATATTTTTGTAGTAATATTCCCAAATTTATTTTCAAGTTTCGGGTAATTTTGTCTACCCATATTTTTACCCCGAAACTGTTAATATTCACTTTTCCCCCTAAAAGTGACTTTAATTCCTTTATGGTCATTTATTTTATTGTAATTTACCTTGTCTTGTGAGCCTATAAATAAAGGCATGTACAAAGCTTTAAGACGTACTACAACACAAGAAGATTATATTCTCTTGTTTCTCTCTTATCTCTATATTTTTCTCCTAGTTATCCTTATTTTATAACACATTATTAGCATGATAGCCTCTGCCATATCAAATCAAGCTAAGAAGCTTATACAAAAATAATTTTTGTCTATTAGACACCGATGAGTGTATATCACAGACACCGAAAGCCAGAGAAAAGAAAAGCATTTTTTTTGTCTTTTGAGCCTTAAAGTATCTAATCCCCTTATCCTTCAAAGAAACCTCTTCGTGACCCTCTCTCTCTCGTTTGTGACCTGCAACCTGCGAAGACTAGCAACTACTACAGCGACGCTAACCAGATACAGACGACATCTTTGGCCATTAATGGTGATGAGGGAAGACTCAAACAACACTTGTAGAGGTTCGTAACTCACCATTTATTCCTCTGTATCTGGGTAATCTCACTAAAGTTTGATTATTTCTCTGTCCCATGTTCTTGTTTTGTTCTTCATATTTTGTCTCATAGGTTCTTGTGATTCATTTTGAGCCCATACCGCTAGATTTTGTGTGAAGAAATGATAGCAGGTCAAAACCCACTTTGCTTTATTCTTATTTATTTAATATTTATGACCTAATACTTATTAATTCTTAGATCATGCATCATTGAGATATTTTGAAAAAATAAAAAAACATCACATATTTTGCTTTTATATTGAGCACGGTGTTGGGGTGCATGAATTTTGGAATCCACAACAGGGGGTTTAAATCTAGTAGTTTATTTCATGTAGTATTCTATATTAGGGTTTTGTATCCTGTAATGTATATTTACTCCACATGTCTAGTTCATGACACTTAAAAAATGTTTAGTCTTACAAGCCATATATTACTACAAATGTTCTAGTAAGAAATGTGTATCGAAAAGAAAAAAAAAATTACCCATTTTTCTTCTGATATGTATTACACTAATAGTAGCATGGTTGAAAAACATGTTTTGGTAAGTCAAAAGGATATTGATTGTAATAGTTTATTATTTGGTATGATCGGTTGGACCATCCCGGATCAAATATGATGCTAAATATTATTGAAAATTCAAATGATTATACATTGAGGAACTAGAATACTCTTCAATTTATTGAATTTTCTTGTGTTGCTTGTTG